CCCCCCCCGCAGCTGTGACATCATCGACCTTCTGGCTGCATGCCTATATTTGGTAAATGACATCAGCACAAGCGTCCCGCCTCCTTCTATTCATGCAGCTGAAATCAAACAATCATTTGTCACATACACATCAGAAGTGGATTCCTGGCGATCCTTCTTCTTCATGACATCATCTTGTGTGGTCTCTGCTGATCCATTCATCACTCTGAGCAGAAACAATGACTCGACGATCAGCTGAACACATATCGACCGCGACTCCGATATAATGAGGACGAGACGCTTCGTTACCGTCCATACGGCGCACGTTCCCTTCCCGCTGCACGCTCACATACAACGCCGCGCTACGAGCACACAATAAGCAACAGGAGCTCCCCGGAGACGGCACGGGGCCAACTGGCTTAACCAGCGCTCCCAGTAGTATCGACGTGTGCGCCGCGGCTGCCGTTCAGGAAATTAAGCCGCTGTGAAATGTTCTCAATAAAGCGCGGAAATCTCTCGGCTTACTGTACAGAAAGTTCCGCCGCATTCCGAAACACAATTCCCCGGAAATATCATTTGGATCGGTTCACTTGGAAAGTATGAAATGTGCGACACTGAGCGTGGGCGCGCGTCACAGCGTCATAGCAACAAACATGTGTAAAACGCGTCAACGATACAAAGTACAAACAATGTTTTTATGATCCTATAGCTCCATTCACCCTGCGAATGTCTGTGAACGTTCATCCTGTGCGAATGTCTGTGAACGTTCATCCTGTGCGAATGTCTGTGAACGTTCATCCTGTGCGAATGTCTGTGAACGTTCATCCTGTGCGAATGTCTGTGACCTCCATGCCAGTCCCTCCACTGGCTTCCAATAGCCCAAATGATAACATTTCCAAATATTAACAACCACTTACAAAGCCATCCACAACTCTGCCCCTGGCTATATCTCCAACCTTGTCTGAAAGTATCACCCTAACCGTCCTCTCCGCTCTTCAAAAGACCTCCTGCTTTCCAGCTCCCTCGTCAACTCCTCCCATGCTCGCCTCCAGGACTTCTCTACAGTCTCTCCCATCTTCTGGAACTCTTTAACCCAACCTGTTCATCTATGTCCCACTCTGACTGTCTTTAGGCGATCCCTTAAGACTCATCTCTTCAGCGAAGCCTATCCCACCTCAACCTAACCACTGAAATATCACATTCCCAAACAATTCCTACCCACACAGCTCCCTCCCCATGTATCACTGGCCCCTCCTTTTTAGATTGTAAGCCCTCAGGGGCAGGGCCCTCCTTACCATCTTGTCTTGAATTGTATTGAGATTGTAACGTCTTCCTTATATTGTAAAGCGCTGCGCAAACTGTTGGCGCTCTATAAATCCTGTATAGCAATAATAAGAATAAGAAGAATAAGAATAAGAAGAATAATAATAGACATCTACACATCTTATTAAAATCGGTATGTTAGACTTTTGTTAGATGTCGGTTACACTGTCTGATCTGGATACAAGTCCCCTCCAGTGAAGCAATGATGGGAATGATAGTGTGTGGAAGGGTGGAAGGGGGGGGGGTGTCTTCAGAAAGATGGCATCCCCACCATACGTGTAGACGTGTGGGCTCTGTGCTAGTCCATGCCGGGCTGTGAGCACCTTTACCAGCAGGGGTTAACAAGAAAGCGTCTCCGGCACCCCTGGCAGTGTGACAGTCTGTTCCAACCCCAGCCACTGACGCTTTCCATGGACGGTGTACGGTACATCTCACTCTGTATTGGCGACATGTTAAATAATATCGGAATTCATATACTGAACACTGTCATTGCTGGGTACAGTTAAAGGAGAACTATGAGGGGAGTGCTTTTCACTGAGACTGTCGCAGGTCGGCTCAGTAGATCGGGAGGTGAGCGAACACATACCCTCCTCCAGCGCTGACTGGCGGAACGGACGGGGGAGGGGCGGGTACAGCTGGCTCTGCCTCTAGATAGGCAGAGCCAGCTGTACCCGCCCCTCCCCCGTCCGTTCCGCCAGTCAGCGCTGGAGGAGGGTATGTGTTCGCTCACCTCCCGATCTACTGAGCCGACCTGCGACAGTCTCAGTGAAAAGCACTCCCCTCATAGTTCTCCTTTAACCAGTTGACATCCGCGGTGTTAACTACGGGCGGACGGCAAGAGGTTAAAGAACTATGGGGTCAGTGCTTTACGCCATAGTTCTCCTCAGGGTCACGGGAGAACACAGACTAGCGTCCTCCCGTCACCCAAAGCTCAGTATACTGAGTCGCCGCAGCCGGGACGGATCCCGACAATAGCGTCTGGATCCACCCAGCTGCCTGATTGACAGGTGGCTCTGCCTATCCAGAGGCAATGCCAGCTGTGCCCGCCCCCTCCCCCGTCTGTTTCGCCAGTCAGCGCTGGAGAATCGGAGGGGGGAATCCCTGCAGTGAGCCGTGAGTGACAGTAACGGCTCTCTGCAGGGATAGAGCGGGAAGTGAGCGAGCGACGGTATGTGTTCGCTCACTTCCCGATCTACTGAGCCGACGTGTGACAGTCTCATTGTCACAGGTCGGCTCAGATTATGAGGCTGAGTGAAAATCACTCCCCTCATAGTTCTCCTTTAATGGACTCTTTTGAAATCTGTAGCTTTCGTTACAATAACCCCTGGTGATCCCGCCATGGAGGTCCTTGTTCAGACACTTCCTGTTATAGGGTGACAACGTTCTGTCTTTGTCTGTCAATTGTTCTTCTGCGTTATAGCTTTGTCTCTATCCGGTGTCCCGCTCAGCTCCTGGCAACCATTGATGTTGACAGTAGCATTTAGCAACCTGGGACGCTCTTCCTAAATGCAGGCCCCCTCCCCCCCATGTGACCCAATGAGATGCCTCATTATAGGGACAGCCCTGCCAACATGGTTCACTTGTCACCATCAGGAGACCCTCCCTCAGAAATGCCATGGCAACCATCGCTGGAGTGCCTGTAGAGAGGAAGTGGCTGCAAAGAGGCTGCATGAGATCAGCAGCACTGAGATGGACCAAACAATAAAAAAAAGGTTACAATAGATATTTTATACATTTAAAAAAAAAATATACAATCCTATATGATACATATCAGGAGCAGAACCTGGAGCAGCTGTGCGCGGCAGCCAATCAGCTTCTAGCTTTCATTTCCAAAGCTTAACTGAGCAAGCTGCTGATTGGTTACCACGCACAGCTGGTCCAGATTCTGTCTGCTCAAGGTTCAGTAAATTCCCCTCCCCCAGGGCGCCCCGAGGCCGGGTGACACCCGGAGCGGAGACCGGGTGACACCCCGCAGTGACGTCATCACGCATGCACGGCCATCTAATTGACTCCTGCCGGTGGCCATCTTGGTGATGGACGCCGGTGATCGATCAAAAGTACGAACTTATCGAGTTGTGGGACCGCATGACTTCCGGTTTCCTCAGAACTACGATGTTTGCACACAGTGCCCCACTCTAGCGGCGGCCATATTGAGTGGGGCACCGGAGATAAAGAACGTGCTGGCTTACTGTCATCCTAGATCATTTTATTAATTTATTGCTGTGGTCTATGTCTATAGGGCAATGCCGTGGATGGCGCTTGTGCACAACATGTTTTGTGTGCATACATCGTAGTTCTGAGGAAACCGGAAGTCATGTGGTCCCACAACTCGATAAGTTCGCACTTTCGACACATCACCGGCAGAGAGAGGAGGGGACGTTCACCCGGCGGGATGAGGTATGCTGCCGGGTCCCCTCCTCTCCCCTGACACTGTCGGGCTCTCAGTCCGTGACCCGACTTTTTAGAGGGAGTGACACCAAAATGACTGTCAGTCATTGTGGTCTCACCCCTCCAATGGTTGCCGCACCCCCCTTGTGATGCCACTGCCCCCCTGTAGTGTTTTAGCTGATTAAACGTCTTTCAGTTTTGGGGTCTATTCTATAACGGTCAGTCGAGTCAGGTGACTGCAATGAGACAATCAGTGTGCTGCCAATGAGACGACTGCCAATGAGTACCCAACTGTCACTCGGCAGCAATGAGATTTAATGGCCGAGCCTAAATGTTTTTTAAGCAGGCGGCAGGAGGGTCAAGTGCCGGGCTGTGAAGATTTCACGGATTTTGCGCTGTGTAGAGGCAATGAACAGTTCCAATGGAAATCAACCTGCACGCCTAAAGGGATGCCGGGGAAGCCTTTCCCGCACGTCTCCGGCAATCAGGACTGGGGAAAAAAAAAAACCTGCTCGATATGGAAATAGTAAGGCGTTAGAGTCATCAATTGAATGCAGTAATGCCACCATTGGTCGGCGGGCGGTGGAAGACAACGTCACCATGCTGCATACTACGAGACCCAAGATGCTGGAGCAAGCACAAGGGTCCTGACTTCAAGACCGATGGAAGGAAGCGCAAGCTCCGTCTCTCTCCGGCAAAGGATCCCTTCCCACCGCGCTTACCGTTTCAGATCCCTGGGGGAGAAGATCTTCCGTTAGCTCTACCGATAGACACTCCAGTTGGGAATTTTTAGGAAGTTTTTGCTTTAAGAGGGAGAATCCCATCTAGGTTTCCGGGACGCATTGGGCAAGGGATTATCATGGGACAGCCAATCGCCTTCTAGGAAAGTTTGGCACACCTGTCCAGGTGTATCCGGGGGGGTGGGAATTCTACAGCCGACAGAAGTATCTGATGCTCCAATGCCATTAAAATGACCAGGCACATGTGGTTCTCTCTGCCGTACGTCTCGAAGCCCTTCAGGAGGACCGATGGGGTGAACTCCTCTGACATTTTCTCTGCCTTCTACGGCTTCCCTAACATCTCGTCCCTCTTCAACGGGGACATCAACATCGACGACATCGGGGACTTCGACAACAACACAAAGTACGAAGCCGAGTCGCAGAGCTCGACGGTGAAAGCAATGCTGATCGTCGCCTACTCGGTCATCATTGTCATCTCACTCTTTGGGAATATCCTGGTTTGTCACGTCGTCATAAAGAACAAGAGGATTCGGTCGGCAACCAGCATGTTCATTGTGAACTTGGCAGTGGCAGATATAATGATCACTCTTCTCAACACCCCCTTTACCCTGGTAAGGTACCCGATGTACAGATGATTACTCTTCCCAACACCCCCTTTACCTTGATATGGTACCTGATGTAGAGATTATTACTCTTTCCAACACTCCCTTCATCCAGGTAAGGTACCCGATGTATAGATGATCACTGTTCCCAACACCCCCTTCACCATGCTTAGGTACCCGATGTATAGATGATCACTCATCCCAACACCCCCTTCACCCTGGTAAGGTACCCGATGTATAGATGATCACTCATCCCAACACCCCCTTCACCCTGGTAAGGTACCCGATGTATAGATGATCACTCTTCCCAACACCCCCTTCACCCTGGTAAGGTACCCGATGTACAGATGATCACTGTTCCAACACCCCCTTCACCATGCTTAGGTACCCGATGTATAGATGATCACTCATCCCAACACCCCCTTCACCCTGGTAAGGTATCCGATGTATAGATGATCACTCTTCCCGACACCCCCTTCACCCTGGTAAGGTATCCGATGTACAGATGATCACTCATCCCAACACCCCCTTCACCATGCTTAGGTACCCAATGTATAGATGATCACTCTTCCCAACACCCCCTTCACCCTGGTAAGGTACCCGATATAGAGATGATCACTCTTCCCGACACCCCCTTCACCTTGATAAGTTACCCGATGTAGAGATGATCACTCTTCCTGACACCCCTTTACATAAAATTCCTCGAGTAGAGATAACTACACTTCCCAACACCCCCTTCACCCTGGTAAGGTACTTAATGCAGAGATAATTCCGCTTTTTAGCATCCCTTCACCCTGGGGTACCCAATATAGAGATAATTAATCTTCCCAACACTCCCTTCACCCTGGTAAGGTACCCGATGTAGAGATAATTAATCTTCTCAGCACTCCTTCACCCTGGTAAGGTACCCAATGTACAGATGATCACTCATCCCAACACCCCCTTCACCCCAGTAAGATACCCGATGTAGAGATATTTAATCTTCTCAGCACCTCTTCACCCTGATAAGGTGCCCAATACAGAGATATTAACCCTTCCCAACACCCCCTTCACCTTGGCAAGGTATCCAATGTAGAAATGATTACTCTTCCTGACATTCCTTTACATAAAGTTCCCAATGTAGAGATAACTACTCTTCTCAGTACCTCTTCACCCCAGTAAGGTACCCAATAAAGAGACAATTACACTTCCCAACATCCCCTTCACCACTCCCGGTAAGGTACCCGATGTTCACATGAACCATTGCTCATTATTACCGGAAGTCAGAGTGCGAATCCCTATGTGTGATTGATATGATCAATCCACATACATAACGATGAGGATCCATAGATAAAACACAAAGTGAGCGGTAATCCAGCCCAGTGCGATCTACAAGTTACATATCTGAAAAGAAAGAGCCGTGTCCTTGTGATAAAGTAGAACTATGATAATGGAAACATGAGACATATGATGTAGTCTGTCCTCAGTGACAACACGGCAGTGATTGGTCAGTGGCCTCTCCCTTGTGACATGGTTTTTAAATTGTATTACTGGCTGTTCTGTTAAAAAAAAATGTGCTCCAAAAAATTGATTTTTCTAAAGTGAAACTGTGTCCAGGCTCCGGATATCCAAACATTTACAAACGCAGCAGTAAAGTATCTTTACAACGAGCCCTCACTGACCCCTGTAGCTGTAGGCATCGTGGAGTAATTTATCCTCAAAGTTCACAGCAGGAGCATTGCAGTTTATCAAGTCAGTTTTTTCAGCAGTTCAGCTCCCCCTGCTCCCCCCTCCCAGCAGTGGCTCAGCAGCTCAGTTCACCCTGCCCCCCCCTCCCAGCAGTGACTTAGCAGCTCAGCTCACCCTGCTCTCACCTCCCAGCATCAACCCTGCAGCTAAACTCCACCTGCTCTCCTCTCCCAGCAGTGACCTAGCAGCTCAGCTCCCCCTGCTTCCTCTACCAACAGTGAAGTAGCCACTCACCTTACCCTGGACCCCCCTCCCAGTAGTAACTTAGCAGCTCAGCTCACCCTGCTCTCACCTCCCAGCATCAACCCTGCAGCTAAGCTCCACCTGCTCCCCTCTCCCAGTAGTGACTTAGCAGCTCAGCTCACCCTGCTTCCTCTAACAGCAGTGACTCCCCTACTTTCTCTCCCATCACTCTCACTTTTGGAAGGTAGAGGGGAGCAGGGCTCACATCTGGGCACATTGTTGGCAGGGAGATTGGGGACACGTTTATCCTCCCTGTCAGCCCTTTGGCATGTGGCCGGGGGGTGATCATATTATTCTTATGTACTCCTTGCATGGCTTGGCCACGGGGAGAGATGTAGCCACTGTGACGGCTCCGATATCAGGTACCGCGCTCTATAATGAAATGCCGCAGAGAGCAGACTGACAGCTGCCGTCTGTTACAAGCCTGGAACCCCCGATGGCAATACAATTTCAGTGCGGGCGCTATCTGTCAATCAGAGCGGGCGCTATCTGTCAATCAGTGCGGGCGCTATCTGTCAATCAGTGCGGGCGCTATCTGTCAATCAGTGCGGGCGCTATTTGTCAATCAGAGCGGGCGCTATCTGTCAATCAGTGCGGGCGCTATCTGTCAATCAGAGCCGGCGCTATCTGTCAATCAGTGCGGGCGCTATCTGTCAATCAGTGACTTATCCTAACCTTGTCGTATTCTCCTTTAAATAAGTGTTTATCTTGACCAGCACCATGGACAGCGATGCGTGCGCGGCTTCTAGACGATATACAGGTGAAACTCGAATAATTAGAATATTGTGCAAAAGTAATTGCAGTAAGTGCTGCAAAAGGGGCCCAAACCAAGTACTGAGTACATATGCATGCTTGTACTTTTCAGAGGTCCGATATTGTTCTATGTACAATCCTTGTTTTATTGATTGCATGTAATAATCTACTTTTTTGAGGTTGTGGATTTGGGGTTCTTGGGGTTTTCATGAGCTGTAAGCCATAATCATCACAATTATGACAAATCACGGCTTGAATTATCTTGCTTTGCATGTAATGAGTCTCTCTCATATATTAGTTTCACCGCATAAGTTGCATTAGTGAAATAAATTAACTTTGCACGATATTCTAATTATTCGAGTTTCACCTGTATATAATGTGTTTCAGCTGTGGTGTCCAGATATTGATTGATTGATTGATTGATTGAAGCAGTTATAAACCCTAACTGGATAACATTTAAGCTGGCCATACACCTTACAACCGTCGCACGACTTTCGTCTTGCGATGGTTGTAAGTTGAATAAAATCTCGTACTATCTGCTGATCTTGGACAGGCAGATCGTACTTGCGATCATCGCAAGCTCTCCCTGCCGAGGGGCGGGCTTCCGACGACTGCAATGCTGAGCGGGGAGTGTGCGCTTGTCTTCAGAGCACGCCACTAACCCGCTGAAAATGCTACGATTTTCGGCTGGTTTTCCAGCGTGCTCGGAAGACAAAAGACGTGCGACCGTACAGTAGAAACGGTCGCACGCCTTTCATACACCTGCCGATTATCGTACGATCGCGGGATCGGCAGGTGTATGGGCACCTTAAGTCTTCCCCATGCACGGTGTATCATAAGCAATTATCTATTTTTTTTAAAATAAAATCCTTGTTTTCACCTTTTTTATCCTCTGTTCCATCTCAGTGCTGCTGATGTCCTGCAGCCACTTCCTGTCTACATGCACAGCAACGATGGCTGCATGGCATTTCCCAAGTCGGGTCTCTTAAAGGTGACAACAGTGTACCATGTCTGTGTAATGTGTGATGAAATGGCCACATAGTCTTGTGACAGGGTGACCACACAGGAGCACAATTGGGTGACAGGGACAGAGCGTGTTGTCACCCTATTACAGGAAGTGTCTGAACAAGGACATAACATTGTCACCCTATAACAGGAAGTGCCTGAACAATGACAGAGCATTGTCACCCTATAACAGGAAGTGCCTGGGCTTGGACCATCATGGTGGGATCAGCAGGGATTATTATAATGTAAGCTGCAAAAAAACCCACAAATTTTAATTAAAAAGGAACACGGTAAAGCTTCTTTGAGATTTTAGCGGTTGGGTTGACACTGGAAGATGGATGGTAGATACTTATTGCATCTATCATTGCATTATGTACTCCTGAGTGCTGCTGCGTGTGTCTACGTTTGTCAAAGGATCCCAATAAAGTTGGTGAGCAGCAGATAGAAGGTTTGCGGTGTTCCCTCTGTCTGCAGATCTTTGTTATCTCCGAATGGTAAATGAAAAGAGTAACGTTGGAGGCGCCGGGAGTATTTATAACATTGATGTGGGTTTTGTGACATCCCTGGCATTCCAATGTGTCAGCCTCCTCCTATGGGAAGTCATACTTATCTCTGCCGTGGAGAAAAGAAATGAGCTCACATCTATAATGGCTACAAGGTTCTCTTATGTTCCTGCCTCTTGATACATGACAAGAAATACGCTCTGTATTACTCATGCAATCAGGTTTGTTTCTAAATGGGATTAGATGTATTTGCTGTTCTAAGTTCATATGATACAATGTATCAGATAGGAAGTCATTGCATGGACTGGTGTGCCTTGGTTCCTTCCTAATACTTTATTGCAGTCTGATATCATGGGATGCTACACTATATGACCAGAATTTGTGGCCACTTGACCATCACACCTATATGAGCTTGTTGGGCATCCAAATTGAAAACCATGGCCAATAATATGGAGTGTGCCTTCCCCATGGCCATTAATATGGAGTGTGCCTTCCCCATGACCATTAATCTGGAGTGTGCCTTCCCCATGGCCAATAATATGGAGTGTGCCTTCCCCATGGCCATTAATATGGAGTGTGCCTTCCCCATGGCCATTAATATGGAGTGTGCCTTCCCCATGGCCATTAATATGGAGTGTGCCTTCCCCATGACCATTAATAAGCAGTGTGCCTTCCCCATGACCATTAATAGGGAGTGTGCCTTCCCCATGACCATTAATCTGGAGTGTGCCTTCCCCATGGCCAATAATATGGAGTGTGCCTTCCCCATGGCCATTA